GTAAACATGTTCAAGAAAACAAAGAGTTTTGGAAACATTCGTGGAAATGGTTTATATACTCGTAGCGTCACTTTTTTTTTGCTCCGCCCACATAGCGTGACGCCTTATTCTAGTGACACGCCCCACTTTTATGATTCCCCACGCAACGTTTAATGTTTCTTTAGCCACGCCCAACTACTTTTTGGCTCCGCCCACTTGGCGTGACGCCTTATGTTAGTGACACACCCCATTTTTATGACTCCTCAATCTTCGTGCTGCGACCAATGTTTTTTTAGCCACGTCCAATTACTTTTGGATCCGCCCACTTGGCGTGACGCCTTATGTTAGTGACACACCCCATTTTTATGACTCCTCAATCTTCGTGCTGCGACCAATGTTTTTTTAGCCACGCCCAATTACTTTTTGGCTCCGCCCACTTGGCGTGACGCCTTATGTTAGTGACACACCCCATTTTTATGACTCCTCAATCTTCGTGCTGCGACCAATGTTTTTTTAGCCACGCCCAATTACTTTTTGGCTCCGCCCACTTGGCGTGACGCCTTATGTTAGTGACACACCCCATTTTTATGACTCCTCAATCTTCGTGCTGCGACCAATGTTTTTTTAGCCACGCCCAATTACTTTTTGGCTCCGCCTACTTTGCATAAAACCTTCTACTAGTGACGCCCACTTTTTAAGCCCCGTCCACTTCGCCTAACGCCCCTAATAGTGACGCCCAATTTTTAAGTCCTACCCACTTTGCCTAACACTCCCTACTATTGACGCCCACTTTTTACGCCCTGTCCACATCGCTAAACGCCCACACTAGTAACACCCACTTTTTTTAGCCCTACCCATTTAGCCTAGCGCCCCCTAAGAGTGACGCCCAATTTTTAAACCCCGCCCACTTCGCCTAACGCACCTAATGGTGACGCCCACTTTTTAAGTCCTACCCACTTTGCCTAACACTCCCTACTAGTAACGCCCACTTTTTTTAGCCCTACCGATTTAGCCTAGCGCCCTCTAATAGTGACGCCCACTTTTTAAGTCGTACCCACTGTGCCTAACACTGCCTACTAGTGACGCCCACTTTTTAAACCCTGTCCACTTCGCTTAACGCACATACTAGTAACGCCCACTTTTTTAGCCCTACCCATTTATCCTAGCGCCCCCTAAGAGTGACGCCCACTTTTTAAACCCCGCCCACTACGCCTAACGCCCCTAATAGTGACGACCACTTTTTAGCTTCGCCCTCTCTTGTATAATATAATAATCATGCCAATGTTTTTTAGGGACACCCCACTACTTTTTGGCTCCGCCTACTTGGCGTGACGCCCCCTATTAGTGACGCCCACTTTTTTGCCCCGCCCTCATTTTGATAATATAATATAATAATATAATTAAAGTAATATAATAATACTAGTAATAGTAATAATAATAATTTCAATATAATAAAAAAAAATAAGGAAAACATTTTATTTGTAAAAATTAGTAAAATATAAAGAAATATATAATAAATTATAGAAGAAAATTTTTTTTGTAACACTGCGAATAAATTTAAGTAACAATAAAGAATGTGTAAATTTATATCGAAAAGTTTTTCTTCTCTTGCTTTTGTAAATTGTATTCAAGTTCTTGGCACAAGGAAAATTGCTTAAAAAGGAAACTTGAGGCTCAAATGAATGAATGAAACTTTTGACCTTTCTCGAAGGCATGAAAAGCACCCCCGAGAATAATAAGAATAAAAAAAAGAAAAATTCCCACCCTTTAATTGCGGTGAAATATTTTTTTTCTGGACACGCGAAAAAAAAAAAAAAATTTTTTCAATAACGCGGAAATTTTTTTGTCTATTGACTGTATTGTATATTATATAGAAAATATTGAAACATTTTCTTTTTTTCGTTTCATGAACAGGAAAAATTAATAAATATGAGAGATTTTCTTTGTTAATATTAAAGGTGTCTTTTTTAATGATTTGATTTTAATCATAAAAATAAAAATAAAAAAAAAGAAAATTATTTATGTAATAGAAAAAAAATGTTACAATTTTTTTTTTTTTATTTATATTTTTTTATTATTATAGGTTTTCTTTTCAAACATCAATTTGCAAATCGATGTACAAAGGCTGTCAGTTGTGGGAGAGAGAAAGAGAAGGAAAAAAAATTGTTAAAGTAACACGGGAATTGAATACGTGGTATTCTGTATCAAAATACATGATATCAATATCGAATAAAGTTCTTTTTTTCACTCACTCATTCTTTTTCTGTCATGCCACTGAGGGATCAAAACAATAATTGAAAATAATTTCAATTTGAATGAAGTTGTGACCCCATGAAATAGTGACAATTTATTATCAATAAAGATTTGTTTTTTTTTTTTGCGTTTAAAAGTATATAATAATCGTTCTATTATTAAGGGATAAATCAAGAGAGAAAAAAATGTCAATTCTTTTTTATTCTCTTTCTGAAAAAAAAAATTTGCAAATTAAAAAAATTCTTTGTCATCGAAAAATGGTTTTTTGGTAAAAAATTTTTTTTTTGTAACTCGATAGTTTTGTGGTTTTTTTTACCTTTTGAACAAAAAAATGTAGGGAGAAAATTTCTCATAAAAAAATCATTAATTAAAATTTTAATTTTAAAGAATTTTATTAGAAATAAGAATTTTTTTGGATAAAAGTTTTTGAATTAATTTTATTTAAATATCTATCTTTTGATTGAGATATCAGTATATCGATCCAAATATCAATTTAAATATTGATTTACTAATTGAAAATTAATTCGAAAAATTGTAAATTCATCAAAAAAACTAATTATTTCTAATAAAATTCATTTTTTTTAAATTTTTTACAAAAATTTTAATTAAATTTTAATTTTTAATATATATGCGAAAGTCATATATATATATATATATTTAATTTAAAAAGAAAAAAAAAGTAGTGAAACATTGTTTAATTAAACATGCAATGACTTTAATGTAAATTTACCAAAATTTTATTTTTTTTTTATTTTTTTGATTTTGTCGTTTTAAACACGCGAGAATGTCTATATATCGTGTGAAGTAAATTTGCTTCTCGAACACCCATCCACTTTCCACTTCATGTCCGTCAATCTGGGCTTTAAAGGGCGAGCGCGTTTACTTGGAATTGCATTGTGTTCATACTAAACTCCACATCAAGTGACAAGGAATAATCACACAACAATTCATGGAAATTCGAAAAATTGAGGTTAAAAAAAAACACAGAAATAAATATTTTTATGCATACAATTTTTTTTTTTTTTCTCAAGTTTACTTAAATTTTTTTTTTATTTTTTTCTCATTAATTCATTTATATTTTTTATACATTTAATATTCAATGCCATATATATATATATATATATATATATATATATATATATGGGTGTATATAATTATTTGCGTATTATTAAAAAATTTATCATTCATTCATTAAATTTATGTCTCGAGAATCGATAGTGATTATTAATTTGACCTAATTCTTGAATTTTCCATCATAAAATAATAATTATAAGAAGAGAAGAAAAAAATTTTATTAAGAAGCTTTTTTTATAATCGTATAATAATAATAATAATAATAATAATAATAATAATAATAATAATAGTAATAATAATAGTTAGACTGTTAATAATAATAATAATAATAATAATAAAAATTAATTTTAAATGTTATAAAAATTGTCAAAATAAATTTGGAAATTTTCTTGTTTTTGATTATGTTCCATTTTTTTTTAAATATAAATTTTGCAAATAATTTTATTAATATTTCACATCAACACTGGTAATTAGTTTCCTCTGATTTGATTATTGAGAAAACATTAAGTATATTGACAGTATTCTCATTCACTATATTCCAAGTTATTCAATTTAACATATAAACGGGCTCTGTTTGTTTTCCCACAGCAAACATCTTGAATCTAATTTAAAATATTTCCTGAATAAATTAAGTTAACTTCATATATATATATATATATATATATAGATTTAAATATCCATAAACCGTTTTAGATATCGATTAGGAAATCGATATGTCGATTTCCGTAACGATCAATCAATTTAAACATCGATATATCGCTTTAAATATCGATCTATCGATTTCCGTAACGATCAATCGATATATCGCTTTAAATATCGATCTATCGATTGAGATATCGATATATCGCTTTAAATATCGATCTATCGATTTCCGTAACGATCAATCGATATATCGCTTTAAATATCGATCTATCGATTGAGATATCGATATATGGCTTTAAATATCGATCTATCGATTTCCGTAACGATCAATCGATATATCGCTTTAAATATCGATCTATCGATTGAGATATCGATATATGGCTTTAAATATCGATCTATCGATTTCCGTAACGATCAATCGATATATCGCTTTAAATATCGATCTATCGATTGAGATATCGATATATCGCTTTAAATATCGATCTATCGATTGAGATATCGATATATCGACCCAAATATCAATATTTCCACTTAAAAGTACATTTTTTTCCTTTAAATATCGATTTATTAATCCGAGTATCGATAAATCGATTTATATATCGATATATCTACTTAAAAGTCTACTTATCGATTTAAATATCGATCTAAATATTTATATATCTAATTGCGAAAGTCGATATATCAATTTAAGTATCGATTAATTAATCCAAATATCGATATATCGATTTAAATATCGATGTATCTACTTAAAAATCGATAAATCGATTTATTAATATCGTTTTAAAAAACCAATATATCGATTTAAAAAATCATTAACCAATTGACATTATAATTATATTCATATATATATATATATATATATATTATAATATATTTTTTACTTCACGCTTATTTGAATTTTTTCAATTTGTGAACATTAAAAAAAAATGTCGAGGAATAAAATTTATAACTTTAAGTGAATAGTTATGTATAAGTTAATTAAGTAATTAGTGACATACAATACATTATAGATGTAAAATAGTTTGAAAAAAAAAATATATATATATATATACCTTGACTGGAATGCAAAAGATGATGAGTAAAAGATCAGCTGTGGCGAGACCACCAAGAAAGACATTAGTGGGTGTCGCTGGTAATGGTCGTAATCTTGGGCAAAGTGTTGACGCAATAATGACGACATTTCCTGCAAAAAGAAAAGACAAAAATGAAATTTTTTTTTTTTTGTCTTCTATAACCCAAAAATATTTATATATATGAGAATTTTTCCCCTTTTCTTTTTCTTATACTTTCCATATTTTTTATAATATAATAAAAATAATAAAAATAATAATAATAATAATAATAATAATAATAATAAAAAGGGAAACTCCGAGCTGCGAGAAAAATGGCATAAAGCCAGGCTTATCTTCAAGCAAGCGGTTCGAAATAGCCAACGCCGTTGCTGGAAGGACCTAATCGGTGAATCCGAAAATGATCCATGGGGTTTGGCGTTCAAGATTGTCACCAAGAAATTGGTGGCTAGGCAAAAAACCCCTGGTCTGGATGATCCGATTTGGGTCCAGAAAATCATAAGCGCATTATTTCCCCACGTAGAACCGATCCCCAGGGAGGACTATACTCACTGTGTAGTACAGAGGGAGGAGCTCTTCACGCTTGAAGAACTAAAAAAGGTGGCAAAGACGTTGAAAAATGGCAAAGCGCCTGGCAATGACGGAATAGCCAGTGAGATCCTAAAAGAGGTGACCGCTGCCTATCCAGAGCTTCTTCTCAACGTCTTTAATGCGTGTTTGGAAGCTGGAGAGTTCTTCAATGACTGGAAGATACAGAAATTGGTCCTCCTTAGGAAAGGAGACAAACCTCTAGATAAGGTCACATCGTACAGACCGATATGCTTATTGGATACGATGGGTAAGTTTCTAGAGGGTATGGTTCTACAGAGACTTCAGGAAATCCTGGTAGGCGAGAACAGCCTATCGGAGAACCAATTTGGCTTTCGAAAAGGCCGGTCAACAGTTGATGCAATACTCACTGTTGTCAATAAGGCACAGAAAGCCAAAGAGGGGAAAAAGAAAGGATTCTGCGCGCTCGTTTCCGTCGACATAAGTAATGCGTTTAATTCTGCAAGGTGGGACCATTGCATAGAAGCAATGAAACGTAAAAGGGTTCCAGCCTATCTGTTGCGCATGATAGACAACTATCTTAGCAACAGATGGGTTGTGTACAAGAGCGACACATGTCATATCAAATACGAAATGACATGTGGAGCTCCACAAGGGTCTAAGGTGGGTCCTTTCGTATGGAACGTCATGTATGACGAACTCCTGCGGATCGACCTACCTGAAGACACGTTTGTAGTCGGCTTTGCAGACGACGTCATTATAGTATGTTGCGCGCAGAGCTTAGAAATCCTGGAAATAAGGATCAATGAAAGTCTGAGACGAGTAAAACGCTGGTTAGACCTCAATGACCTTCAAATGGCCATAGAGAAGACTGAAGCCTTGCTCGTCACAGACCGGAGACCTTATGAAACCCCTCGGCTCCAAATCGGGAAGACCGAAGTCTCCTGGGGAAATAATCTCAAGTACCTGGGAGTGACGTTGGACAGAAGGTTAAACTTCCACCAACACTGTAACATCAAGTCACTCGAGGCCGCCGAATGCGTTGGAAACCTTTCGAGGATGATGCCCAATGTCGGCGGCCCCAGGGAAAGGAAAAGGCGATTGGTGGCGACCGTGGGTCTAGCAAAGCAGCTGTATGCTGCCCCTGCATGGGCTGATAAAGCCCTAAAGACCCGCGGCATCTCTGATAAACTGCTCTCCGTACATGGAAGATCCGCGCGGAGAGTGGTTTCAGCCTACAGAACAGTCTCAACGAGTGCAGTCCTAGTTCTGGCGAGCACTCCGCCAGTAGATTTACTGGCGAGAGAAAGACAGGAGGTCTTCATGCTAGTAAAGGACCTAGCGAGCTCGCTAGAACAAGGGAACTGTAATAGCCTAAAGGCGGCTATTCGCAAAGAAGCGAGGAAACGTCTCGTTGAGAAATGGCAAGAGAGATGGGATGGGGATTTAAAAGGAAGGTGGGCACACCGCCTGATTCCTCACCTCGCCACCTGGCTTGATAGAAAGCACGGCGAAGTTGGCTATTACCTGACACAAGTGTTGTCAGGTCATGGTTGTTTCGGCCAGTATCTCTTCAGATTTAAAATAAGAAAAGCTTCAAAATGCGTGTACTGCGATGCTCAAATTGATGACGCAGAACACACGCTATTTTCCTGTGAGCATTGGAGCGATGATAGGGAGACCATGTTTACGGCGGTTGGGACTCGATTCAACCCCGATACTATGGTCCCCATCATGCTCCAAAATGTGGACTCTTGGAGGCATATCGAGACTTTTGTCGTAAAAGTCATGTCGACAAAAGACAAAGACGGAAGATCCGGGTTGACCGGGAGATACCTTAATGCTCGGCAGGGATCAAGCAGAAGAGGGAGGAGGAGAATTTAGATCCCCTCCCCCTTCTGTCCAGCCTTGAGCAATAGCCGGAAGAGTAGGCTACGAAGTTCCGTAACGGTAGGGTCGCTATAGCGGCAAAACGGGACCTCATCTGCGAAGACCGAAGCTTGACGGCAGTTCCGCAGGTGAAATAGTGTCCGGGTAAAATGGGTTTTTAGTGAGTATGGGCGCTTGCGTCAGAGTCTCACAGTATTCAAGCTTGGGCGCCAAGCTTGTTTCTCTATAAAAGATTTTAAAGCCATTATAACTCCTATGATTGAATGGTCATATATCTTCTTATGTGGGCATTCTGTTGTAGGAGTAATGTGGCGACCCGCAGTAAGCAAAAAAAAAAAAAAAAAAAAAAAAAAAAAAAAAAAAAAAAAAAATAATAATAATAAAATAATAGTAAAATAATAATAAAATATTAATAATAATAATTGTATTAACAATTTGGAAAAATAATAAACATTTAAACAAATGCAATGACCAGTTTAAAAAAAAAAAAAATTTCACTAACTTGTTTTGAAAATAGAGAATCGCAAATATTTGAACAAAACTAAAACACATATTTGTTGGGAAAACAACTCGTTAAAGCGACTCCATTTATCTGATATATATTTTTTTAATTCCTTCCAATATATATATACATGCAGTGAACGCTAGATATCATTAATATTCTGGCTAACGTCCAAAGTTTCCAATATGGGGCGAACCAATAAAACATTTTGAGAAGAGTAAGGGGGAAGGCAATTTTTTTTTTTTTTTTTTTTGTTTTAACGATTTTTCATTTTTTTTTTTCATTTTTTTTTTTTTTTGTCTCACCCTCTATTGACATATGTATTTGATCATTGATTTATATTAAAATAGAAAAAGAAAAGAATATTACAGGCAGAAAATTGAAAGTTTTTCATTGAAACGATAAATAATTTTTATTTTTAGAAAAAATTTATTAGGAAAAAAAAAGACAAAAAAAAATTTGCTAGAAGAAATAAAAAAAAAAGTTATTAAAACTACAATAAGTCAAATTGATTTCAGATAGAAATTTGGGCAATTTTTGAATTCGAATAAAAATAAAATGTAATTTCAAATAGAAATAAATTGAAATTTGATAAAATGATTTTTTTTCTAAAACCATATGTAAATTGAGATAAAAAAAAAAAAAAAAAGACAAATAGATTTTCTGTAAAACAAAATAAACGAAACGAATTTAAACGAATTTAGAGATCCAATTGATTTTAGCCAAAAATTCAATAACACAAAATCATCCGAAAAAAAGAGAAATACATTTTTACAATTTTAAATTATATTTTTCATTTAAATTCAACACAGTGGAAAAAATTTAATCATTTTTCTAAATTAATTAAATTTAAATTTGAAAATTAAAAAAAAAAAAAATTTAACTAGTTCATGCAATATTCACTTTTTCCAAGTCCAACTGTATTTTTTTTCTCTCTCTCTCTATCTCTCTCGCTCGCTCGCTGACCCCTCCCTCCTAATGAATTTATTGGTACAATGCAAGTATGCTCCTAAATTCTCTGCTTCAGTTGCATATGTATTATTCTCTAAAGCATAAATAGCGCTTATCGATTTTCGTTTGTATCCACATACTCGAAACGTTTTAAACGGCTCGTCGACGACGACAACGACGACAACTAGGAGTAGGAGTACGATGATGATGGAAGTTTTAATGTTGAGAGGGTGGATCACTAAATTCCTTAAATGTCAAATAAAAAAATAATTTCAACGCAAAATTCATTAGCAAATTTACAAAAATAAGACTAAAAAAAATGAGCTAACTCTTGACACAGTTGAAACTGTTTTCTATATTGAAACAATCTAAAAAAAATCTCGCGAAATTTTTTTTTTAGATAATTATAATAAATTAAAAAAAAAAGTTATATCCCTATATTGGATCCTACATTATGAATTTTGTAATTCTGAGGTCAAATTCGAATTCAGCGATCCCTAAAACCTCACAAGTAAAAAATTTTTAACCAAATTTGGAAAAAATTTTACAAATCTAAGTAGCCATATTGGATCCGCCATTTTGAATTTTGTAAATTTTACATCAAATTCAGTTTCAGCGACCTCAAAAACCCCTGAGTAACAATTTTTGACCAAATTTCGAAAATTTTTTAAAATCTAAGTCGACATTTTGAATCCGCCATTTTGAATTTTTAAAATCTGAGGTCAAATTCGTAATCAGCGACCTCAAAAACCCCCGAGTAACAAATTTGAAGCGATTCGAGACAATTTTGAAACATTTTTGTCACCATATTGGTACCGCCATTTTGAATTTTGTAAATCTGAGGTCAAATTCGTATTCAGCGACCTCAAAAACCCCTGAGTAACAATTTTTGACCAAATTTCGAAAATTTTTAAAAATCTAAGTTGACATTTTGAATCCGCCATTTTGAATTTTTTAAATCTGAGGTCAAATTCGTAATCAGCGACCTCAAAAACCCCCGAGTAACAAATTTGAAGCGATTCGAGACAATTTTGGAAGATTTTTGTCACCATATTGGTATCGCCATTTTGAATTTTTAAAAATCTGATGTCAAATTCGTAATCAGCGACCTCAAAAACCCCCGAGTAACAAATTTGAAGCGATTCGAGACAATTTTGAAACATTTTTGTCACCATATTGGTACCGCCATTTTGAATTTTGTAAATCTGAGGTCAAATTCGTATTCAGCGACCTCAAAAACCCCTGAGAAACAACTTTTAACCGAATTTCGAAAATTTTTAAAAATCTAAGTCGCCATATTGAATTTTTAAAATCTGAGGTCAAATTCGAATTAAGCGACCTCAAAAACCTCCCGAGTAACAAGTTTCAAAGGAAACCGAGCACTTTTTGCAAAATTCCTTCCGCCATATTGAATCCACCATTTTAAATTTTGTAACAAATTTCAAGAGAAATAGGACAATTTAAAAAAAATTTTAATGATTCTTATGAATATTTTTTCAAATTTGCCTTAAACTTTGTTACACGTTGCTTTTTTGAATTTGCTGAATGTTTGAATTTTATGTCATATTTACAAAATTCAAAATGGCGGCTCCAATGTGGCGGAATTTTTTTTCAAAACTTTGTCAGATTTACTTGAAACTTGTTCCGGGGGGTTTTCGAGGACGCTGATTACGAATTTAATGTCAGAATTACAAAAAATTTTAAATGGCGGACGAATTAGAGAAAAATAGGTGGAAATCACATGAAACTTGTTAATCGGGGGTTTTTGAGATCGCTGATTACGAATTTGACCTGAGGTTTTTAAAAAAATACAAAGTGGCGGATCCAAAATGGCGACTTGTGTTTTTAAAAATTTTCGAAATTCGATTAAAAATTGTTAAATGGGGGGTTTTTGAGGTCGCTGAATACGAATTTGACCTCAGATTTACAAAATTCAAAATGGCAGATCCAATATGGCGGACGAATTTGAAAAAAGTGCTCGGATTCGTTTGATATTTGTTACTCGGGGGTTTTTGAGGTCGCTGATTACGAATTTGACCTCAGATTTAAAAAATTCAAAATGGCGGATCCAAAATGGCGACTTGTGTTTTAAAAATTTTTCGAAATTCGATTAAAAATTGTTACTCAGGGGTTTTTGAGGTCGCTGAATACGAATATGACCTTAGATTTACAAATTTCAAAATGGCGGATCCAATATGGAGGACGAATTTGAAAAAAGTGCTCGGATTCCTTTGATATTTGTTACTCGGGGGTTTTTGAGGTCGCTGATTACGAATTTGACCTCAGATTTACAAAATTCAAAATGGCGGATCAAATATGGCGGACGAATTTGAAAAAATGCTCGGATTCCTTTGAAGATTGTTACTCGGGGGGTTTTTGAGGTCGCTGATTACGAATTTGACCTCAGATTTAAAAAATTCAAAATGGCGGATCCAAATGGCGACTTGTATTTTTAAAAATTTTCGAAATTCGATTAAAAATTGTTACTCAGGGGTTTTTGAGGTCGCTGAATACGAATTTGACCTCAGATTTACAAAATTCAAATTGGCGGATCCAATATGGCGGACGAATTTGAAAAAAGTGCTGCGATTCCTTTGATATTTGTTACTCGGGTGGTTTTTGATGTCGCTGATTACGAATTTGATGTAAAATTTACAAAATTCAAAATGGCGGATCTAATATGGCGACTTAGATTAAAAAATTTTTTTTTTCCAAATTCGGTTAAAACTTGTTACTCGAGGGGTTTTTAGGGGTTGCTGAATCTAAATTTGATGTTATTTTTAAAAAATATAAAACCTGCTTTTAAGCTGGTATTTTTTCATCACTAAATTTGAATTTTCCTTGACAATTATTGAAAAAAGAAAATAAATTCAAAACTTGTTAAAAGTTAAAAGAAGAAAATTAAAAAATGAAAAGTAAAAATAAAAAAAAACAAACCACTTACCAATAAATCCAAGCATAAAAGTTAGTGTATAGATGAATAAAACTGGTCCATATTCAGCCCATGGAATTCCCAGATCAGCATCATCATCCGGTGGCATTGTTTCATTCGTAAAGTTGTAAAATTCCATTTTGTTTATTTTTAATTTTTTTTTTTTTAATTAACTTTTTTATTTTATTAATTTTTTTCTAAGTTTTGCAAAAAAAAAAAAAACATAAATTTTAATCCCGTATCGAGTTTCTTTTTCGTTCACTTATTGGCACACTGGAGTAAATGATGAAAAATCGAATAACGTCTCTCATCTCAGTTTCCGTGAGCGTCATTTTTTTTTATTTCCACTTTATTTTATTTTATTCTATTCTATTTTTTTTTTTAACACAGAGCGAATGTAAAATTATAATAATTGTCCATTCATGGTGATTCTTTCATTTCATTTTATTCTTCTTTTTATCTCTGAAAATCTATCTCATTCTATTTTTTTCGGCTAATAAAAATTCAAAAAAAAAAGAAAAAGATTGAGAAAATTTCGAATCGTTTATTTTGGCCTTACTGTGAATAATTCATTCCCTTAAGGGATTAATTAGTTTTCTTTGCCAAGTTTTCATCATCATCATCATCATCATCATAGTTGGATCAAACTTTTAAAAAAGGGGATGAGAATCGTCTTATATATATATATATATATACTTGGAAAATCGCTTGATTATATTCAATCTTCTTTTATTCTTAAATCTAGGCTTTGAGATTTTTTTTTTCACTCAAAAAAAGAAAAGGGAATTTATTTCTTTATTTTATAATTTTTGAAATAGACAAAAGTTAAAAATTTATTAAATATTTTACTAACATTATTTAAATACGTGTAATTAATTAAATACGTTCATTAAATATTACATTAATTAATTAAATAATTTTACTAAATAATTTTAAATATAATTAATGAAAAAGTTTAGAAAAATTTTTAAGTAATAAATAAAATTTTTTTAGTTAAATTTTTTATTATTTAATTAAAAATTTTACAAAAATTTTTAAGTAATAAATTAATTTTTTTATTATTTAATTAAAAATTTTTACAAAAATTTTTAATAAATTCAACTTTTTATTAATTAATTTAAAAGTTTACAAAAATGTTTAATAAATTAAATAATTTTTTTATTTAAATTTTTATTATAAATTTTTATCATTTAATTATATAGAAAATTTTTTTTTTCAATGAAAATATAAATTAATTTTTCTCAATAGAACTAAATATATTAAATTATTTTTACAACATTTTTCTTCCTTTGATTATTTTTAGCAAATATTCAGCTTTTTATTATATGCATATATATATAAATTTTTTTTGTTATTAAAAATTCTACACACCCTCCACGTTGGTTTTCGTCATAAAGCGCACAAATTTTCTCTCTCTCTCTCTCTCTCGACTTTTTTTTTTTTTTTTATTCAAACTTAGCTAAAAGCTGAAACGAGTTTCGTTTCATGGAAAAATAATAATTTGCATAAAGCAGGACAAATTTACAAACGCAGAAAAACTAAATTAATATTTGCGCCTTGTATTCGCTTTTATACTTCTTATATTTCTCGAAAAAGAAAGAAAAAATAAACGAAAAACAAAGAATAAACTCATTGAGAAATTTTTGAAGAAATGTTTTCACTTTACCTTTAACTTTGTTTTTCATAATTTTTTCATTTTCTTTTTAAATTGATTATATTATTCAAAGTAGAAAGAAAAACAGGAGAAAAAAATAGAAATTTAACATTAGAAAAAGATTTTTTTTTTTTTGCTAATTAGAGAACAAAAAATAAATAAAAATTAATTTATTTTTAATTTTTTTTTAAATAAATAAAAATTAATTTATTTTTAATTTTTTTTTAAATAAATAAAAATTAATTTATTTTTAATTTTTTTTTAAATATATAAGTAAAAATTAATTTATTTTTAATTTTTTTTTAAATAAATAAAAATTTATTTAAAAAAAAATTTTAATTCTAACAAATTTTAATTATTGTTTAAGGCCATGTAAAAGAATTTTTTTTGAAAATAAGTACGAGAAAAAAAATTATTATTTACAAAAATTAATTTAATTAAAATAATTTTTATTAGAATAAATAATAAAGAAAAGGAACTATTAAAGTTTAAATATTTTTACAATGAGATAAGATTTTAATTTTATAGAGAGAAAAAGAAAGAGAGAGAGAGAAATACAAAAACTTCGTGAAATCACATTACGTTTATATTGAAAAAAAAAATATATATATATAATATATTTAGACAAGAGAAAACGTTTGCTGGTTTATTTTTGAACCTACAAATCTATAAATTCTACAGTAAAATAAAAAAAAAAAAACACAATGATACTCTATTGTATTGCTCAGGGGCAAATTTTCTCATACTTTTACGCCAGGAAAAAAAAAGATTATAAAACAAAAGTTTTTTTTTTTTTTGAAAATAAAAATATTCAATTCAAGAAGTGGGATTTTTTTTTTAAATTTAATTTTTTTAATTTTCTATTTTTTATTATTATTATTATTATTTTATTTTTTTATTTTATATAGAAAATATAATAAATAAAATTTTTCAAAAATCATACAATAAATTTTGGAAATTAAATTTGGTTTCTATTTATAATTATTATTAACATTTTAATTTATTAATTAAAGAATAGATCAAAATCGATACAACATTTTTAAATACATATATATATATATATAGAGCTTCAATGGGAAAATCGCATCGACTTTGATCTGTTCTTAAATAAAATATTTTTCATATTCAAAAAAAATTTCTATTCTCAATATTTTTTTTAAAAAATCTAATTTGTTTAATTAAAAATTTTAATTATTAATGAATAATTAATTAATTATAATAATAATAATAATAATAATAATAATAATAAATTTTTAATTAATTGATGTATTTTTTATTCAGAAAATTTAATATTAATAATTATAAAAAAAATTTATTTAAGTATATATATATATATAAAATTTTGTATTCATATTTTGTGAACAACATGTGTATCATCATGTAAATATATATATATATATATATATGAATTCTATTTTAAAAAATACGCCTATTGTCTAATTCAATTTTTTTTCATGGATTTTTTTTCATCTGAACTTTGCACATTTCCGGATTACAGAATAGGCTGAATGCCAATTGGCCGTGTGGTATCTTGAAATTTTTCGTTTCTGACGTCTAATACACAGTCAAAATAACGATAAGTGGCAAAAAAATATTTTTTTTCAATTTTATTTTTATTTTTTTGTTTATATAATAAATAAAAAAAATGATAAGTAAATATAATAATTTTAAAAAATAGTAAATAAATATATAATAATAATATAAATAATAAAATCAAATAAATAAATATATATATATATATATATATATATATATGACTTTTAAAAATTCATGCGTGGCAGAGAATAATACTTAAGATAAGACGGAGGGTGAAGTTAAAGTAAGCGGAAAAGTTTTGAAAGTAGGAAAGAAAAAAAAATGAGGAACAGGCATTCGTACTTTGCAAAGAGAAATAAACGTTATTAGCGGATGTAATTCACTGGGCGTTTATTCTATTGAAGTTAATTCGATAAAATACAGAGAAACTAAATTACCTATAGCGCAGATTTAATCAAATCCTAGAGGCGCGCTTCTTTCACATTAAAAGCATCAAATTTTAATTTTTTCGATTTTCTTCATTTTTTTTTTTTATTCAAATTTTTTTTTTTAATCTCTTTTCTTTTTTTTTTTTTTATCAATAGTAATTTAATTTTGAAATTTTTGTTTTCTTTGATTTATATATTTTTTTTTACATTTCTAATGCGCTTAACTGCATTTATTTTTATTGTTTATGCTTTTTTAATTGTTCTTGTTGGAATGCTTTAGTTTTTATTGCAATTATTATTGTAACGATTTTTTACAATTTACAGTTTTTTTTTTTATTTTTGTTAATGCTTTTCCTTTTGTTTTTTATTGTAAAAGTTATTGTTAATATTTTTACAAATTACAGTATTGTTACTAAAGTTTTTGTTTTTGTTATAAAAGTTATTGTTATTAATTTTTTCCTGTTATTTTTGTTACAAAATTTATTGTTGCTTTTTTGCAATTTATAGTGTTTTATTGTTAATATTAATATTATTGTTGTTAAGTTTGTTCCTTTTGTTTTTGTTACAAAAGTTTTTGTTGCAAAAATAAAAAATTTTGTTGCAAAAGTTATTGTTATTAATGTCGAAATTTATAGTTATTTATTATTGTTTTTTTTTTTTGTTGAAAAATTTATTATTTATTTCAATTTAAAGTGTTTTGTCCTTCTTGTTATAATTTTTATTGTTGTTGTTGCCTAACAAATTATTTTTTAATGTTTTGTTATTGTTATACAAAAATTTTTACAATTGATTTTGTTTTTCGATCTGCTTTTATTTTTAATTTTTTTTGTTTTTATTGCTAATTTTATTTTGTTGTTAATTTAATTTGGTTTTTACTCTTGTTTTTATTTTACCTATTGTTTTTTTTTTAGTTCATTTATTGCTTTTTTGCTATTGTTGTAATTTTTTTTTTTTTTTTTAAATTAAATGTAAATAATTTTTGAAAAAAATGAAATTGATCCTTTGATATATATTTCTCTAAACTAAATATTGAAATTTCTCCGGTACGATTTGAATTTAACAGAATAGATGGAAGAAAAGGGGAAAAAAAGAACAATTGAATAAACACATTTTGGAGAAAAGCGATTTCCCAGTTACTATATATATATATATTATATGTATAATACGACGAGAATTTTCCCAACGAGTTGACAAAGTTTCTGATTCAGTTCTTGACAGTTTAGTTTCTCTTAGGTAAAGTTGACATAGAATCGAAAATTTCACCCTCACTCTCAATCTCTATTTCTCTCTTTCTCTCTCTCTCTCTTTTTCTTATATTTGCACAGATCTGTATTAAGTTTTTTCCAACTTTCGACACATAAAAGCATTTCACTTTATGGGAACAAAATGAAAAGCAAAAAACAAAAAAAAAAAAAATATATTAGAATTTTCTCGTGAATTTTTTATATCTCATTATCGTATGTTAACTCTAATTTTTTTTTTTTAAATTCTTGTCAAAAAAATTAATTAAAAAAATTTTCGCTATTTTAATGCTTTTTAAATAAAAAAAAAAAATTTTGTAACTCATTTTTTGGGGATATTCTATAATTTTTTTTTTCCTTTATAAATAAATTATTTTTTTTCTTAACAGTTGGTAATAATTTTTTTTTTATATTTATTAATTTTTATCACCAAAAATTTGTTAATTTTCACACACTGTTTTTTTTTTTTTTTTATTATTATTATTCACATGTGAATTTATAGAAGAGGGGAAAATATATATATATTTTTTTTTAAAAGTATACCTATATTAATAAATAAATGCAAAATATTTGGGTAATTAATTTTTTTTCTCATACATTTTATTAAAAATTAATTTCACGTTTTTTTTATATATTTTTTTTATTTTTTTTTTTGTTGAAATTAACAAATTCCGGGAATCCGACATGCGAGAGGTACCGAGTATAAACTGACTAAAACGCGCCGCAAGATTGAAGAAGAACCCGCCAAGTGACGCGATTCCGAAGTTGTGACGAAAATTCCCGAGGTTATTCGAGTAAAGAAAAATGACTTTTCATATATATATATATATGTTTTTTTTATTTACATAATTATTTTATTTTTATTTTATTAATTTTATATATAAACCATTAGAGTGACACATAATAATAATATTAATAATATTTCTTTTTACATAATTAAATTATTTGCTATTGCTTTTGTTTTTGTTAATTTTTGCTGTTGTTGTTGTTTCTATTGTAATTTCTATTTTTGATATTTTTGTTGTAATATTTGTTACAATATTGTTATTTTTCTTATTGTTATTTATGTTGCTATTGTTATTGTTATTAGTATTAGTTTTGTTATTTTTATTGCTCTCTTTTTGTATTGGGATTATTTTTGTTATTTTATTAATACCATTAATGCTATTGTTATTCTAACAACTTTTGTTATTGTTAATACTGTTAATGTTATTGTTATTCTAACAACTTTTGTTATTGTTTTTGATATTGTTGTCGTTATTTTTATTGTAATAACTTTAGTTTTTGTTGTTTTTATTGTTATTTTTCTTATTTTTATTATTATTTTTATTGTTGTTGTTTGTTGTTTAATATCAATTTTGCTATCGTTATTTATATTATTTTTACTGTATAGGGAAAGTAACTTTTGTTATTGTTATTGAAATTACTTTTGTTATTATTAATCCTATTATTGTTATTATTGTTACTGTAAAAACTTTTGTTATTGTTATTGCTATTGTTGTCATTATTTTTATTGTAATAATTTCAGTTATTGTTATTCTTGTTATTTTTGTTGTTGTTATTGTTATTGTTATTGTTATTGTTATTGTTATTGTTATTGAAAAATTTTTTAATTAAAATTTATTTTTTTTGCACTAAATTCATAAAATCTTTTATCAATTTTATATACTCGGTCGACGCCACGTTGGTGCCGGCAGGTTGAATTGTTTAGAAAGACTTCGTTTTATTTTGATGACTGGTATCTCGAGACGACGGAAATTTAAAGAGTCGTAAAACGGTTTCAGTTGGTCTCATGAAATTTTCTACACACGATACTGACGTGACAATATATATGTATATATATATATTTTTTTTTGTATTACTTATTTAAAATGTGACAAAAAAATTTTTTTAATTTACATTTCAATTATCGATTTTTTTTTTACTTAAAAATTACTGTCTCTGTATTAAAAATGTCAATTATGCTTATTTTTTTTTTTTTTTTTGTAAGAACTTGGTTTGTTAATTACTTGAGATATTGCGGTTAAAAATGTCATTATTATTTTTGTTAAGAACTCATTGGAAATTATTTTTAATTAACTGACAGAAGTGAATAGAAAATTTCGTTCCGGTTATTTGCCGTTCTTTTATATACATATATGTATTTAATACAAATTAGTTTTCATTATTCGAGAAATTCTCTTATTGAGAATAGATAAAAAAAAAATCATTCTTTTTTTTCTTTCATAAAAATTGTTGCGTGATTTATAATAAAATAGAAAATAATAAAAAAAATTGTTTTTTTAAGAAAAGTGATTTTTTTTAATATTTCTATTTTTTTTTTTTTTTTTTTTCTAAAATGGAAATTATTTTTCTTTATAACTCTTAAATGGTATAAACGTTTCTGTTTTATCCATGATTACAAGCAATATTCTCCATACGATGATAGTCTTATCATTTTTTTGTTTTTTCTGCAGCTTTTACTTTTGTATAGCAAATAATAATTTATGATTATCCTTTTATACTTGAGATCCTCCATTACCACCAACCCCTCCCCCCTCTCTATCACTTTTCCATTTTTCTACTTGAACTATTTCGTAAAACACCTTCTATATGTATTATGGCAAATTTTTTTCTTTGTTTTTTTTTAAATTAGAATTTTATTAGAAATTATTTTTAAAATAATTTCCATTTTTTCAATTAACATTTTTTACATAATTCACTTCACAGAATTTTTATTTTGTTCGAATTTTTATTTGTCAGAATTTTTATTTACTCGAATTTTCATTTAACATAATATGCCATTTTAAAGAATTTTTATTGGTTAGAATTTCATTTCATAGAATTTTTGATTTTATTCTTTCAGATGAATTTTCACTTTTTTCGAATTATTATTATTCGATATAATTTCCATAAAAATCAAATTTTCTACAGAATTTTTAACTTAACCGAAAAATTATTTAACCCAATTTTTAATTGATAGTATTTTCATTTGTCCGAAATTGCAAATGACTGAAAAATCGATTTTGGCACGATTTTTAAATTATCAAATCACAATTTTATGGATAATTTTTTGATTGGCTGATAATTTAAAAATCGCGCCAAAATCGATTTTTCGGTCATTTGCAATTTCGGACAAATGAAAATTCAAATCAATTAGAAATTCTGTTAAATAATTTTTCGGTTAAAATTTCTGTAGAAAAATCGGTTTTTATGGAAATTCAATCATAATAATAATTCGAACAAAGTGAAAATTCTGTGCAATAAAATTCTAGCCAATAAAAATTCTTTAAAATGCCCTATTATATATATGTTGAATGAAAATTCGAGCAAAGAAAAATTCTGACAAATAAAAATTCTGCGAAGTGAATTTTCGGTTATATAAAAATTTTGTAATTTAGAAAGAATCGTTTTGATGAAAATTCTGCAAAAATACTATAATTCGAACAAATAAAAATTCGGCTCAAAAATAATTATGACAAATGAAATTCCATAAAATAAAATTTCTAACTAATGATTTTTAGAATATATTAATCATACGTTACGTATTTATAAAAAAAATATATTTTTTAAGTATTTGTGAAATTTATATATATATATATATATATATATATATATATATATATATATAGTTAGTGTATGTAGTAAGTCGTTAAAACTTGACGGAAAGGTAAAGGGAGCTTATAGAAGTGGATGAAGAGATAAAACACACATGCACACACATCTCTTGAGAATAGAACTTAAGCTGCAATGTGACTGATGGTCCTTTGTGTGTAACACACGATTTTGATAATGTTCCTCATAATTATAACTCGAGCAGTTAAATGACTTAACGTATGTGTTAATTTAAAGTCTCTATATATACATACATATACATATATACACACATATATATATATATATATATATATATATATAACATTCCAAAGATTTCTTCTTCCGTCCCTCAGGGACTATAAAAACCTTTAGGCATTTCCTACATAATTTTCCGCAGACAAATTTATAGTATTATTTATATAGAAATACGAATTTTATTTTCAAAAAAAAATTTTTTTTTTTTCCCTTCAACTTTGTTATCTAGAAAAAATTAAATATTTAATAAATAATAACGTAAATATAATGTAAATAACAAAATATATTATAATTATATATGTAAAACAAATTTTTTTCATAGTTATTTTAATTTCAAAATTGCAATTACAGTGACATCTATGATAAAATTTTTGTGACTATAGATGTATTTTATTCTTATCTACTGTCGATAACATTTTTTTTTTATTACAGTTTCCTGTAATTTTTTTTGCGCGCTGGCTATTTGTGTTCTTGTTTAAACCGTTAGAGGCGCCTCGTTTTAATTCTAGTACAAAAAAAAAAAAAAATATTAAAAAATCAATTTGAATCTAAAGAAACATTTTTGTTTTCATTTTTTTTTTATCGACTAATTTGGATAAATTCTATTTTATAATAATTATAATAATAATACAAATAATTATAATATCTAAATAGGTTTTATTTTTTTTTTGTTAATTTCTTATATTTTTTCTATTTTTTTTTTTTTTTGTTTTCTTAATAGATACAAATTTATCATTAAAGGTTGTATATAATGACAAAATATCATATAGTTATTGAGTTCTTTTTGTTTTGTTTTATTTTTTTGGCAAATGTTGTATTTTGCAACAGCGGAAGGAAACTCTTACCCCATTGGCTGTTGAATTTTTCGCCAACGGTGGTGGAGTTACCAAACTTTGATGCAATTTCCACATTATGTATATAATACTTTAGTATATCTATATATATAGTATATATATATCAATTTCTTCTTTATTTATACCGCTAACTGAAAAAAAGAAGCTGAAAAATTTCTGAAAAATGTAAATTCATTTTTTTAAATTTTCGCTCTTTTTTTGGCGCCATCTGCAACAATGAATAGTGTAATATTAATAATAATAATAATAACAAAAAACTGATAATAATAATATTAATAATAGTTATTATAATTAATATTAATAATAATATACATAACCCAAAAATTATTTTCCATTAAAAATAATAATAATAATTATTATTATTTTTAAAAATTTATTTTCTTCATTGCTTATAGCAATATACGTATCTTTTTCTTTTGTGCAACTATTTATTTGTAGAATCTTTGCTTTTCTTAATGCTTTGACTTGAAACGATCTTCGCGAATTCCTGACGAGAATCGGAGCATTTTACCCTTTCGTCCTTTCATTCAAGGTTAAGCCAACCAACATCCAGTTCTGCAACAAGACACCGATCAAAAGGCGCGCAGGAAAGCCTCAAGCGGAAATTTCATTTTCCCATACACACACACACACACAGACACATACATAGAAATACATATTTTAAAAATAAATTTTTTTCTTTTTGCTATAAATAATAATTTTTTATTTTTTAACAAAAATTATTTTCACTAATATATTAAAAATTTAATTTTTAATTAATACAAAATAATAATAATAATAACTATCGATTATTTTTCGATATATATCGATTTTATATCTATTATACAAAAAAATATTATTTATATATCGATTATAAAGAGAAAACGAGATTTTCGATTATATTTCGATATATATCGATTTTATATCTATTATACACAAAAATATTATTTATATATCGATTATAAAGAGAAAACGAGAATTTCGATTATATTTCGATTATATTGATTAAATATCGATTTTATATTGATTAATTATATGTAGATATATTGTGAAAATA